TTTAATTAGGCTTATTTGGAGTTGTTTTGAGAAATAAGGATTTACTTATTAGACATGTGAGTGGGGAAATTAAAAGGTTAAAGAAAGGCTTACCTTTAGAGTTTAGATTAATGGCATTAAAAAGTCAGTTTGGTTTTACATATTTAGGCTAAAACTAAAAGCGTTCAGAAACATAATGACCCTGCAGCATAGCTCACCATCCATAGCATCTCTCTGCAGTCATGATGCAATGAAGGAACAAACAGAAGCATAAAGTGGCTCAGGAGGTGGGATTGGTCTGTTCAAGCTGCAGCTCCGTGTGTCTCCGTATCATTGGGCAAGACGCTGCACTTGCCTGATGTTAGTGATCAGATTCTGCTATATTGAAGTTTAACACCAACATCCATCAATGTCTGCTCTGTTCCCTTTAGAGACATAGACGGGTTTCAGGTATTACAGGCTAACAAAGAAGCCAAACGACCTCCATTCCAAAGGGGAGGACCCGCTCATCAGGTTCAAGTTGCATGTTTTCTAAGCCAAAACAAGGCTTTGCTTTTGTTCCACTCTATAAAGCCTCAAACTGAACACTATTTCTGACATTTTGAATTAAAAAAGCTTCATGGATGGGAAGCAAATTGTCTTCAAACTTAGAAACAAAGTCCAGTGTATTGTTTTTTTAAACTTTTTTTGGACTCGTGTATGAAAAAAATTACCATAATAATTATACTATTAATTATAAATTCTATTTGTGTATTTTGGGCAATAATATCAAATTTAAAGATTTAGAAAGTAACCAGTGATGAACTGAGAATAAAAATCTTTGGGTTTTTCTACAATATTTAAACTCTAAAAATGAATCTCTTTATATTAAGGTGGAAAAGCAAATTTAAGATGTTTGATTCTCCAAGCATGGGTATCATTTTTGGAGTATTAGGCTACTGGTGGTTGTTGTTGGAAGGCATTGGTTTTACGTGCGCTCAATTAAGATTTAGAATGCCGATCTTCCGTTTGACATAAAACAAAGTCATTTATTTTCAGCACAAAGTCCATTATCTTACTGTTTCCTTCAAGATCCACATAAATTCGCCATATATCCAAACCAAGCACAGTAGAAAACTGTTTGCCTCAGCCTATTAACAACACCTGAACAGAATTGATGTTTGACCTTAAATAACCCATCCCCTCATTAAACACTCAGAACTCAAAATTAAATACGCCCCCTGGTGGCGACAAACACCAAAGGATAATTGGCTCCTACACCTGTCTTCTTTGTGTCAGTTTGATCCCATTCAATGTTTATCATTAACAAACAAATAGTTAACTTTCTTTTTTGCTTCATATGTGTGTGACCTAACATGACCACACCTGCAGGTGCAGGAGATCCATTAGAGTTGATATATGTTGTTGTGTTTCCATGGAAACCTCTATACTTCTGCACCATGGGCATGAAGGAGTGTGTGTCTGAGTGACCTTCTGAACTCACACCTGCCAAAGTAGATCTGACTTCTCCTGCTCTGTGGAGGGCGGGAAATTCCTGCAAGGACATTGGCAGTTCATGCAGAATCAGAGAGGAGCAAATATAAAAGCTTGCTCAGTAGTCCTCTATCTGAATCATTCCTCATTGTGCTCTGAGTGGACTGCAATATTCACGCTCTCTTTGAAAATGTTTTTGAAAAAATGTACCATCTAAGAAGTTTCTAAACAGCTATTTGACAGTGAAAGGGACTCAGAGGAGCTCGTCTCTGAGACACTGGACTGTGTTGAGGAGGACCCATATTTCAAGGACTTCTCATCTAATGAGAATGTTGGCTCTGTTCCAAAACCTGGGCTGCATCCTCCAAGGACGCGGTCTACCTAGACTGGATCCTTCCAAGTCCTTGAAAATAAGGAGACCGGAAGAGTTTTGGCTGTGAATTCAAACAGGTCCTCCCTTCAGCGGGTTTTACCGCCATATGCTCTGTTGCTTAGCAACCGTGAAAGTTGACACACAAAGCAGGAAAAGAATGAAAACCGAAGTTTTCAAAACTGTTATCATAAAGTGAACAAAGACTCACAAGAATCCAGAGTGGAATAAAGGTTCCAACCACCGGGAGCAGGAACAAATCAAATCAAATGTAATGATAGAAACCTTAGTCAGTTAAATAACCTGCTGCTGTCATTCTGCACATCTCTGATGTTGCTGCTATTTTCAAATATCCATTACTGTAAAAATGTCCATAGCTGCATATTGGTTATTAATTCTCCAGTTTTATATTGTTAAAACACTTTACAGGATTGTATTGTTTATATTTTAACTCTTCCCTATTATGTTATTCTTATACATTTTTCTAAGGTCCTCATTTGTGTGACCATTTTCAATAATCTTTCTGCTGCTGTAAATTTTCCCATTGTGGGACAATAAAGGGATTTTCTATTCTATAAAAGGGTAGAAAGATATAAGTAAATCTAAACAATGTATGTATAAAAATATATCTGCAAAATCTCTAATATTTAACAACAGAAAATACGTAGTTAAGTATATTGTGCAAAACAGCAATAAAAAAATTAAACTCCTATCAGATTTATAGTCCCCACCCTGCAGATATATTAGAATCTGTCCTTAAATTCCAGCCAAATCCATTTACACAGTAACGGATTAAAACCTTTAGATAAATCAAACATTACCGCCACATATCTGACTCTATAACCATTAAAACAACTATTTTTCATTCATTTCAGACAGAACTATTCACAGACTGGATTATATTAAACTGAACTTCCAATTTCCACCACTGTTCGGCGCCAAGTAACCTTTACTCTGATCACGGCTTGCTTGGTCTCGCAATGAATCCTGGGTAAACCAAGGATAGCGAGGATACATCAGACCCGTCCTTCAAATCGGCCAAAAAGAAGGACGCATTTTAAGGCCGCATAACGAGGACTCTTGGAATCCGACCAGACCTCGGCGCCGCGCTATGACGTAATCGTCCTTCGAATCTGGCCTTCTGAGGACGCGTCCCAGGATTTTGAACAGAGCAGTTGACCCAGGCGTTGTCCCTCAACCACCTGCAGACACGATCTCTTCCAAAAATAGAAAAAATAGAATGGTTCCTTTTCCCATTGAAACAGCAGGGTAGACATAGTGCCAGTAATATAATCAAATAGGATCCAAGACCCACCAGATACCAGAAAACTGAATTATTTTGTTTCTTTTTATCTTTTCAAAGCAGACATGGCAGTTAAACCAAAGTTTATTTTAAATTGTAGCGTCTTGTGCCTAAAAACCCATCAGGAGTCTCAGTGAATCTCCCTAATAAAGTTCAAAAACATGAAGTAACATGATCCATAAACTGCTGCCGTCCCTCTGTAGTCTAGTTCAAAACAGCTCCTGCAAACATCAGTTGGCTTAAAAATGGGAACTACAGAACTAATTCTTTTAGAATAGGCATATATATTGCCCAGCCTCCAGACGGATTCAGACAGGCTTCTCAAAGGTTCATCAACAGCTTTATTATACCTAAATACCTGTTAATACCTGTAACAAGCAGTAACAATATAAAAAATTATAGCTCTCTTTAAAATATATAAACAAAATAAAATAATAATCTAAACATTACCTCTTCTGTACTAGAAAGTACAGCTTCAACAAATGTTCCCAGGTCTAACAAAGTACTCAGTCAGCTTTGCAGAATAACTCTCACCTCTCAGAGCTTTTTCAGGTTTTTCAGTGTCCATGTGAGCTTTGAGATCTCCAGCACCTTTATTAGACACTGAAACTAATGAGCCAGCTTTGCACACGGTGCACTCAGCCTCCCACTGGACTAAAAATGTTTGCTGGAGTTCATCTGTGAAGCTGCACTTTAGTTTTGGCATTTTGTAATGATTTTTAATAAATAAAAACATCAGATTAGGTTCCCTTCAGGCTGCATAGTGAACACAGCCATAGTTAGATCCTTCATTCCTCTAGTGGCTTGGTTGTAGCGGCTCTGGACACACACAGTTATAGCAACTGAAACACTTGTTTTATCAGGTGCCGAACCAACTGGGCCAGAATACGTACCTACATTATTTCCTGATCTAAGTTCTCCAACAAGCAAAGGAGGATTTATCCAATGGCCAGATTTGAACTCAGGCTCTAAAAAGCAAAAAGATTAATGCTGACGGAGGAGCAACAGGAAAGACTGGAGAAGACAGAAGGTGAATGCCATTAAACTATTTATTTTACAGCTTTAGTTTGGCTGAAAATATCAGAGAAAACATGGAAAAAGATTGTTTCTAATTTATATGAAACCAGATAAAGAAACACATTTTTACAATCCATGAGGTTTTTATTGCTGCTCGTTCATCAATTTAGAAGTGATTACAATAATTAAAAACATCCACAGCAGAATATAATACATCATCATATAATACAACAAAACAGCACAGCAGGGGTCCGTCTGAATTTTTTCCAATTTAAACATCTATAACTTCTCATTAGCTTGTTGTATGGATGCTAACTTGCTTTATCTGTAACCAAGATGCTGCTGTTGCACTTTATTATGTTCATTCCCTTCAGTACAGAGAAACTAAGACATCATAAATGTAAACCTCTTTTTCTTCTTAAGGCAAACTTTTTTGGCCATTTAAATCTTCATTTTCTCAGGCCCAAAATAATTAATTGTCAAATGTTCACATCCACACATTCACCCAGAACCTGAATATTTACCAGGTTTACAATAATACACCTTATCTGTTCTAGTTTCTATATAACGACAGCTGGAGATGAATGGCTTTCTCAAAACAGACTTTGACCCATCAGTTTCTTATGTAATGCAGTGGAGTTTCTAGATATATAGAATAGACATTTTATCCCCATTCAAACATGGAAAACGCTTATACTGTTCATTCCTGTGGCATCTATTGCTGTGAATTATGTGAAACAATTTTTCTTTTTTATCTAAATCATTCTACATCATGCATGAACAGATGTCATCTGAATACTCAAATTACCTTCTCTTTTAAAACCTTTGTCACAAAACATTCAGGAGAACAAATTTCACCTATGTGTATTATTTGTCTAATCAAAAGACTTTTTAGAGTAAATCTTTTGCTACAAATCGGACAGGAAAAAGGCTTCTCTCCTGTGTGAATTCTGAGGTGTGTATAAAGATTAGATTTGTTGGTGAAGCTTTTTCCACAGGACAGACATTCAAAGGGTATTTCTCCTGTGAATTTGGATGTGTTTATTAAGATAAGACTTAGAGGTGAAGCGTTTTCCACAGGACAGACATTCAAAAGGTTTCTCACCTGTGTGAATTCTGATGTGAGTATTAAGATAAGACTTAGAGGTAAAGTCTCTTCCGCAGGACAGACATTCAAAAGGTTTCTCACCTGTGTGAAATCTCATGTGAGAAGTGAAACTAATCTTTTGAATAAATTTCTTGTTACAAATCGTACAGGAAAAAGGCTTCTCACCCGTGTGAATTCTCATGTGAGTATTAAGACCAGACTTAGAGGTGAAGCGTTTTCCACAAGATAGACAAACAAAAGGTTTCTCACCTGTGTGAATTCTCTTGTGAATAGTCAAACTACTTTTTACAGTAAACTTCTTGTGACAAATCGTACAGGAAAAAGGTTTCTCACCTGTGTGAATTCTCATGTGATCGGTCAAATTACTTTTTACAGTAAACTTCTTGTGACAAATCGTACAGGAAAAAGGCTTCTCACCTGTGTGGATTCTCATGTGTTTATCAAAATGAGATTTATCAGTAAAGCTTTTTCCACAGGACAGACATTCAAAGGGCTTCTCACCTGTGTGAATTCTGATGTGAGTATTAAGATAAGACTTCGAGGTAAAGCCTCTTCCGCAGGACAGACATTCAAAAGGTTTCTCACCTGTGTGAAATCTCATGTGAGAAGTGAAAGTAATCTTTTGAATAAATTTCTTGTTACAAATCGTACAGGAAAAAGGCTTCTCACCCGTGTGAATTCTCATGTGAGTATTAAGACCAGACTTAGAGGTGAAGCGTTTTCCACAAGATAGACAAACAAAAGGCTTCTCACCTGTGTGAATTCTGATGTGATTATTAAGATAAGACTTGGAGGTAAAGCCTCTTCCGCAGGACAGACATTCAAAAGGTTTTTCACCTGTGTGAATTCTCATGTGATTGGTCAAACTATTCTTTCGAGTAAATTTCTTGTTACAAATGGTACAGGAGAAAAGCCTTTTATTTGTGTGAATTCTGATGTGAGTACTAAGGACAGACTTGGAGGTGAAGCTTTTTCCACAGGACAGACATTTATAAATCTTCTGACCTCTGTGTGTTCTCATGTGAACCATTAAATGTTCTTTTTTCAGAAATGTTTCTCCACATGTCAAACATGGGGAAGGTTTCTCTCCTGTATCTTCCATCTGCTCCTGCAGAACAAGCTGCTCTTTGTGCTCGCTAATGGGGAGCTCCATGGTTTCCTCTTCTGTCCAGGGATGTTCTGGTTCTTGCTGCTTTTCTTTTATCTGCAGAGGTTCTGGTTCCTTTTGGTCCAAACTGGAATTCTTCTCACGTCCACAGAGCTGCTGGTCAGAGAAAACCTCCTCTTTTCCAACATGATCCTGAAGGTGGTCTGGAAAGACAAACATAGCAGAAAGACTGCTCTTTAATAATCCTTGTGTTGATCTAATTACATATAAACAGACTGGAACATCATCTCCCAGCATGCACTTCAGCTCTGACACCGCAATCACAGGTTTGGACCTCCACTTTTATCTTTAAAGCTTGAGATTATGTTTAAAATGAACATTTTCATTTTTCCAGAACACAAACCCAATCTCAGTTTTCCAAATAATTTAATCATTGATGTTTTACTGCCATATGAAGTTACTGCCATATCTATAGCTAACTTTTAGCCTAATATTTGAGTGAACTTAAATTATTTTATCTGGAGTGACTGAGCCGACCACTACTGAGTGTTTTGAATGGCAAGTATGATGTCATCCATTTGTTATAGATACATAAATGCACACAAACATTTTATTTTTATTTTTATGCTCTAACAGTAAGAATTACTAGGAAATCAAATTACAACTGTTGTTTTCTTTCTTATTGTTCTCTCAATATGTACTAGATACTATTTTTTGTGTTTGAAAGAATTTAATTTTTCCAACTCTAATAATTAACAATTCCAAGACCAGCAAGGATTATAGCCCAAATTAGCCGCGCCATGCCTACTGTTCCCTACCAGGAAGGACAATTGTCACTTAACGCTATAAAGTGAAATATTCCCAGCTAAAATCCTGCTTACAAATGTTATTAATGTGGTTGTAATTCTGGATGCTTGAACACAATAAAACTGCAGTATTTCTTATGGAATCTATTTCATCGTGTAGCACAGTGCATTGTGTTTGGACCTGTTCACTTCCTGTTTGGATTAACTGAGTGTGCAGCTGTTTCAGCTGTCCAGAGGAACTCCACCCGAAGTTATTTTCTCTGTGATATCTCTGTATCTAAGTAACTCTAACTGACTACTTTAAAACATAGCACCGTCTGCTGCACTTTTCTACTAAGCACTTGTCAGTTTCACACGGTTCTCTCTCTCCCTCCCTTGACTCTTTTCCAACTCTTCCTTCTTCCTCTCCTCTCTCCTGCTCTCTGTGTCAGATGTTCAGTTATTCCTCTGCCTCCTTTAGTGATAATGGGATGTGTAATAAGTGTACCGTATTTTCACGACCATAAGGCGCACCGGACTATAGGGCGCGTTTTTTATATACAGGTACATGTCCTCTACTACCTTTAAATACCTCTACTGCGTATTTAAAAATACAGCGGGGGCAAAACTGAGTATGACTGTGCTTTATTCATGTATTTATTACAAAGTATTAATCAAACCTGCGAGCTGGCCATGAGACAGACACATCGCAGATGACACAGCGCTGTGATCACTCCTAAATTAACTTAAAATCCTAAAACCTGCCGACGGAATATGTTCGCTTTTATTGCCGGTATCCTGGTGCTGCAGTTTAAATTATTTAGATGAAAAACACCTGCCAGCAGCCGCGGTGAACGAAAGGATTTCTACTGTCGGTGCACCGCTGGTATGTGGGGGTCTGAGCGCCTCCGACAGAAATAGATAATCTGGATGAACTGACTGCAATTAAGTTTTCAGGTGGACTTTCTCACTTAAAAACATATTAAAACTACTTTATTCCCACTGATCACAGCAAATATAGCTGCAAGATTTAGATTATTTAGATGAAAAAACACCTGCCAGCCACCGCGCTGAAGAAGAGGAGGAGACCCGCCCAGATGCTGCTGTTAAATTAAGTTTTCAGGTAGAAAAATAGAGCTGGAGCAAAACTGAGTATGATTGTGCTTTATTAATGTATTTATTACAAAGTATTAATCAAACCCATCAAAGTCATCATCCTCTGTTTCTGAATAAAACAGCTGCGCTAAATCAGACATGCCAGTTTCCCCTTCTTCGCTGTCAGTCACTTTCCGTGCAGCGCGGCTCCTCAGAAATAATGCCGGCTTTTGCGAAAGTTTGAACAGAGCCAGCAGACACGTTAGTCCATCTACAATCCATCCTCAAACGGTGGCGTAACTTGCCCGGCGCTGCCTTCCACTTATCCTGAAACTGTGGTCTCCGTCGGTCATCCATCGCTCCCACGCCGCTCGCAGCCTTACTGTGAACGGCCGCTCCACACCGATGTCGAGCGGTTGAAGTTCCTTTGTCAGACCCCCGGGATAACGGCGAGCACAGCGTTCATTTGATTCACCTTTTTTTTCCACATCGGCTGTGAGATGGGCACGCAGCGATGGTGATGCGTGGAAAAAAGCACCTGGTCTACTCACATACACCTGCCTTTCATCATCTCCTCATTCATCCAGCCTTTTTCATTGGCGTTAATATCATATGTCATCAGAGCGTTGTGTCTGTCTCGCTGTCAGCTCCCAGATCAGCTTCTCTGATTGGTTGATGCGGCGCGTCCAGCAGCAAAACTTCAATTTTTCCATCTGGAGCAGCAGCAGCGCGTTGGCGGTGCATCAGATACTTAAACGCTCCCGAGGCGCTGCGGCTGCAGCTCAAAACGCGCTGCAGGACTTTTGCTGCACCTATATGCGCGTCAACCATTGACTTTGCATGTAAACTCCCTGCTTCTGCTGCACCTGCTGGGTCCGGTTCACACTGATGTCCAGCGGTTGAACAGCGAGCACAGCGTTAATTTGTTTCCCCATGTTTTTCACATCAGCTGTGAGATGGGCACGCATGGAGTTACATACAGCGATGGTGATGAGTGGAAAAAAAACACCTGGTCTCCCTCCATTCAGCCACTCTTTCATCATCTCCTCAATAAGGTGGTCTCAAAAGTCGCAGTTGGAACACACAAGGCGCACCGCACCAAAGGGCGCACCGCACATTTTGAGGGAAAAAAAGACATTTAAGTGCGCCTTATAGTCGTGAAAATAGGGTAGTATTTTTGTAGCTTTGGAGGCGAGGGTGTCAGAGTTAGCATCCAGGCTTCAGGCTGTTGAACATCCAGGAGTTAAAGTAGGCCCCCCACGTAGCTGTCCTCCAAAAGTGCCTGAGCAGCCAGGCGATTGGGTAACTGTACGCAGAAAGCGTAGTCGTGGATCTCTGCCCACTGGTCACCACCAACCCGTTCATGTTTCTAACCGGTTTTCCCCACTCAGTGACACACCCACTGAGAAGCCCACTTTGGTGATTGGCAGCTCCATAGTCAGAAACGTGGCATTAGAGACACCAGGGACCATAGTCAAATGTTTGCCGGGGGCCAGAACGGGCGACATCAAATCCTACCTGAAACTACTGGCTAAGGATAAGGTTAAATAGAGTAAGATTGTTATTCACGCTGGTGGTAATGACACCCGGTTACGCCGATCGGAGGTGACTAAAATTAGTGTTGCTTCGGTGTGTAAGTTTGCCAAAAAAATGTCGGACTCCGTAATTTTCTCTGGTCCCCTCCCTGATCTGACCAGTAATGACATGTGTAGCCGCATGTCGTCATTCAACCGCTGGTTGTCTAGGTGGTGTCCTGAAAACAACGTGGGCTACATTAATAATTGGCAATCCTTTTGGGGAAAGCCTGGTCTGATTCGGAGAGACGGCATCCATCCCACTTTGGATGGTGCCGCTCTTCCTTGTAGGAATCTGGCCACATTTATTAGTCCTCCAAAACCCTGACCACCCAGGGTGCAGACCAGGAAGCAGAGTTGTAGTTTAACACACATCTCTGCAGCTTCTCTACTGTTACCCACTCTTTACTCCATCCAGACAGTGTCTTGCCCACGACCAAAATCTAATAAATTAGCAAAGATTCCCAAAGGAGTAAATCATGATGATCCAATTAAAATCAAAATAACTCCAATTGGGGAAAAAGTTAAAACAATTAAATGCGGTCTGTTTAACATAAGATCGCTTTCCTCTAAAAGTCTACTAGTTAATGACTTGATTTGTGATAATCACATTGACTTGTGTTGCCTTACAGAAACCTGGCTGCAGCAAGAGGATTATGTGAGCATAAATGAGGCAACTCCTTCAAACTATTTAAATTTTCACATACCCAGAAGTTCTGGGCGAGGAGGAGGAGTAGCAACAATCTTCCAGTCTGACTTACTGATTACTCCCAAAACAGAATACCTACAACTCTTTTGAACATTTAACCCTTAATTTCCCTGATCCAAATTTCAAGGCAAGAAAACCTCTTCTTTTTGTAACTTTGTATCGTCCACCAGGTCCTTACTCTGAATTTTTAGATGAGTTTTCAGAGTTCCTTTCTGATTTGGTATTAAATACTGACAGGGTCATCATAGTGGGAGATTTTAACATCAGTGCTGACATTGAAGGCGATAGCTTAAGAGCAGCCTTTAATGCTATCTTAGACACTATTGGCTTTGTTCAAAATGTGAATAGTCCCACACATTCTCATCTTCATACTTTGGATCTAGTGCTGACATACGGCATAGAATGTGAAGAAATAACAGTATTTCCACACAACTAGGGCTGCAACAACGAATCAATAAAAATCGACTTTTAAAAGCGTTGGCAACGAATTTCATCATCGATTAGTTGTGTCGCGCGATTAATGCGTCATCCGCCACTGCCGTCATCACATCCACTTGACTGAAACGGGGGAAGAAGAAAAAATACGACAGAGCGAGCCAGCGCTGCAGGTGCAGTGTTGCCAACTCATGTTATGAAACAAAGTAGCCTATATTTTGTGGATGTACAGCTACATTTCTCATGCAAGTTTGCGTAGTTTTAACACAAACATTTATTTTTCATATTGCACCAGTACAGTTAATGAGCAATCTGTACTTGTGTGCTTGTTTGATCTGTCTAAAATGTTTATTTTGGAATAAAGAGTATAAAATATAAAAAATATTTTTTGTCCGATTCATCGATTAATCGAAAAAATAATCGGCCGATTAATCGATTTTTAAAATAACCGTTAGTTGCAGCCCTACTCACAACCCTGTCCTCTCTGACCACTTTCTAATAACCTTCAGGATTACTTTAACAGAGTTCTCCTCCCCCAAAAGAAGGTTCAATTTTAGTAGATCTTTATCAGATAGTGCAGTTATAAATTATAAAGAATCTGCTTC